AGCACTGTTTGTAATGCATGACCTATTCATAGATTTTGCTCAATCTGTTGCCGGGGACTTCTGCTTTAATATGGAGAATGGAGAGCACATCACCGACGGCCAGCGTTATTTCGAAATGGTTCGTCATGTATCATTCGTTACCAACCAATACGATGTCTCGAAAAGGTTTGAAATCTTCAACAATATGAAGCGTGCGCGGTCTTTCCTAGCCCTGCCAACATCGCACCAGAGAGAATACTGCTACTTAAGTAGCAAGGTATCACAGGAATTGCTGCCAAAATTAAAATGCTTAAGAGTGTTGTCCTTGAGTGGCTATTTGATCGAAGAGTTATCGAGTTCGATTGGAGAACTGAAGCTTTTGCGGTCCCTTAATTTGTCTAGAACCGCAATAAGGTTGCTGCCTCGGTCAATCGGATCTCTTTACCAGTTACAAATGTTAATATTAAACCAGTGCAAAGAACTAACTGCTTTGCCTGTTGAAATCTGTGAACTACGTAAATTGAGTCGTCTCGACATCAGCGATACTCCCAAGCTACAAGAGCTGCCACGGGGACTCGGAAACATGACCGGTCTCCGGATATTGCCCAAATTCATTATTGGGAAAGCTCGAGGACCCTCATTAAGGGAGTTAAAGGATTTATCTCTTCAAGGTCACCTCTCTATTACAGGGCTGCAAAACGTGGTGGATATTCAAGATTCAAGGATTGCCAACCTAAGACAAAAACACGGCCTGAAGGAGTTAGCCCTCGAATGGAGCGACGATTGTAAAACGAGACACAACCAAATGCAGGTCCTTGAGTCACTGCAACCTCCAAAAGATCTCCAACGGCTGTCAATTTCATATTACGGAGCTACCAAGTTCCCGTCTTGGGTAGAGAATCCTTCTTTTGCTAAAATAGAGCAGCTAGACCTCTTGGACTGTATAAATTGCAAATCATTTCCATCACTCGGGCATCTACCGTCACTCAGAAGCTTAAATGTAAGAGGCATGCATGCAGTGACAAAGTTGGGCCCTGAATTTTTCGGCAATGGGTTTCGATCTTTGGAGATATTGAGGTTTGAGAGCATGTCGGAATGGGAAGAATGGATTCCATCTGTTGGCAACATCGACGGTTTCCCCCGTCTTCGCGAGCTTATACTGCACAACTGTCCTAGATTAGCTGGAACGTTACCAAGAACCCTTAGTTCTCTGGTAAAACTAGATGTTCAAAACTGCCCACGGTTAACAAATTCACCTTTAAGCTTCCCATTCTTAGGCGAATTAACCATGGAGGACAGTAGCAGCATGATTCTTAGGAGTATAGTTGGTCAAAACATCACCAGCTTGAAACTCAAGGGAATATCGGATCTTACCAGCATAATCGAGGAGCTATCGAAGGCCTTAACAAAACTCGAAGTCCTAGAAATTGAAAGTTGCAGTGAATTAACATGTTTGTGGCGGAACGGAGCCGAATTGCAAAACCTGCATCGGCTAAAGAGTGTGGCAGTAACGAAATGTCCCAAGCTTGTATCCTTGGTCGGAGACGAGCACGGGCGAGGACTATGCTGCCTGTCGTCTCTTACGGATCTCCGGATCGATAGGTGCCAAAAGTTTGAGTCATTGACAGAAAAAGGGTTGCCTTGTACGATGAAGTGCCTCACAATCCTTGACTGCAAGGCTATGGGGTCACTACCAGACATGAATGGCTGCAATCTTGAACAGTTAAAGATTATGGGATGCCCTTCTCTCGTGTCCTTCCCCAAAGGCAAGTTGCCCTCAACACTCAAGAGCTTGAGGATCGAAAACTGCAGAAATCTACGGTGTCTTCCCGATGGAATAGTGCTCAATCTCAATCTCCAAGTTATTAGAATATCTGCTTGTATGAATCTCAGTGCACTGCCTAACCCCATGTGGAACCTCATCTCCCTCCGAGAACTGAGTTTGTCAGACTGTGTGGCTCTGACATCGATTCCAGAGGGTGGTTTTCCGCCCAACATAACTTCGCTCGAGTTGAGCAACTGGGTAAATCTGAAGCAGCCAATGTCGGAGTGGGGCCTGGACAAACTCAATTTTCTTACGGAACTCAAAATTATCGGTACATGTCCTGCTACAGATTTTGTTTCGTTTCCATACGAGGGTGTAATACTTCCTTCGACATTAACCAGTCTTTGCCTGGAACGACTCGAGAACTTGGAATATCTGTCCAGGGAACTGGAGAACCTCGTGGATCTACAAGAATTGCAGATTGAAGGGTGCCGTAAGCTCTGGTTTCTACCGAAGACGGGACTACCGGTCTCACTGGGATGGCTACGCATCTCAGGCTGCCCGGTTTTACGAGAAAAGTGCAGAAAAGAGAAAGGAGAGTACTGGTCCCTCATTTGCGACATCCCTTGCCTTCATATAGATTGAAGCGCCTGTGCTTTCTGTTTTTAGATTATTGTTATGTAAATATATGCTAGGGATTAATGATATTCTAAGGAGTTAATACTCTACTATTAGCTTCACTTAAGAAGTTATGTTTCAGATTTAGAAGTTAATAATCGAATGACAAACAAGCATTAAAAATGATGACAAGCTATGATCAAAGAATCATTGAAGATGAACAACGGTTTGGTTTAAATTGTCAGCCGCTCGATATTGTTTAAGTAGACCTCGAGTTCGAATTCTTGTGTATGCACAAAATTTTTGTTGGGAGACTCACATATTAAAATTAGGTGTGTAACCCGAATCTGTTCAGATTAATCAAGGTAAAACTTTAGAAACCAATAGTACAACCAAAAGAAAAAAATAGTCATTAAAGATGAAAGATAAACATAGTTTACAGTATCGAATTGACATTGAAGTTGTAAAAAATTTAACGTTAATGTCCAACATTTTAATAATTTTTAAAGGTTGAGGTAAAAGTGATTAAAAGAATTAGGATTAAAGTCATAAAACGGTAAATATTAGATATTAGAGTTGTTATTATGCTGGAAAATAATATCAATAGTCAATTTGAATTAAACCATTAATTATTTGAGTAGAGTTGAAAGAGTTGGACCCTTTATGTAATAATTTTAATCATTTTATTTGATTGAATGAAATATTAAATTCTATTTAAATGGATTTAATATATTAAACTTTTATGCTATTATTTTTAAAAAAATTAAACTCTTAATTTTTTGTTTAACCTGCAGTTGCACCGGTTTTGGCGCTGGTCGGTTATTTTTTTTAGCTTTTTAATAAGATTAATTATATTTTTATGACATGTTTTCTATCTTTATGGTACATTTATCTCAGTATTTGTGACATGTTTTTCTCTATCTTTTGGTAGCTTACAATTTTTTATCTTTTTTTTTTTCGTTTATCTTTTTTCACATGGTTGGATTTGACATCGCCACGACTGATCAAGATAACGCTTATTTGTTATCCTGTTGATATTCCCTGCTTTACCCATCAGATTGATTTGGATATGCGTTTTGCGCTCGTGGATAGTTTTCTCTCATCGCTTGATTCTGATTTGCGATTTGTTTGTGATATTTCAATAGATTCATCCCTTTTTGTAGTTCACTTGCCGATGCAGTCAGATTTATCTGTGTCTTTATTTTATTCGAACATTGGTTAGGTTTTTTTAACCTTTTCCTTTTATGGTCATTAAGTGATTTAAGTGGCTAGTTTTTGTGTTAATGATTATAGGAAATTATAATTTAATTTACGCTTACGACTATACTTGTAATTTTTCATTGTAATTCTAGATATTTTTTATTTTTAATAAAACTAACGGATTTTTATAAAAAAAAAATTAAACTCTTATATAAATAACCTCAAAAAAAGTTATAACATTTAGCCCCAAATTTATCAACATGTTTAATTAATAACAGTCGGGGATGTTTAATATATGATAATCTTAATATACAGTTAAGGAAAGACGTTATTGGAAATGTTAATATTTTTTTAATATTTTCGGTAAAGCGTTACCTAAACATTATTTTTTTCTATAGGAAATGTTAATATTGGACGCTACCTAAAATGTTTAACATTTCTGATAAAGCGATACCTAAAATATTTTTTTTCTACTAAAAATTAATTAACAAAATTAACATTTTCGATAAAAAATAATATTTTAAGTAATACTTTATTAAAAATATTAAAAAAATATTAATATTTTCGATATGACATTTCTTTTCTCGTATGTTAAAATTATCGTATAACAAAAATACCCGAACAGTTGTCTGTTTGCAAAACAACAAAAATAATATCACGCTTAAGCGGAAAAAAGCAAGTATTTTAATGGCTCCTTTGGATTCGTACAATAGATAAGTGTCTAGCGTGTAGCGTCCACCGAAAGTGGAATCGACAAGAGCAACACCTAATGTAAAATGTAAGGGTTAATGTATATTTTTAAGCCTGATTTGCACCGATTTTTAATTTGACCCCTAATTTTAATTCTGGGCTGAAATTTATCTCCTGACTTTTTATTTTATACAATTTAACTTTTGAATTTAGCTTTGATCTTTAATTTGATCACTAACTCCAGTTTCGTTATGCTTTTTGGCCAGCGACTTTTTTTGGGTATAATTTCCCCCTAAACTTTGGCTTTCACCTATAAATTGGCTCTTGATTTTTTTTTTCAATTTTAATATAATAATTAAAACTATTATTAATAAAAATATCTAAAGCATTACCAATGGGAGTTGATTCAAGTGGTAAGAAGATTTATATTACTTAAGCAAGGTCTCGAGTTTGAGTCTTTGTGTACGCAGAAAATTTTAGCTAAGAGACTCATCTACCAAAGTCAGGTGTACGACGAGAGTTGATGCGGATCAGTCAAGCCAAAGCCTTAGAACTAGGAGGGCAATCAAAAAAATGTCTAAAAGAATCAAGAAATATATTTCTAATATTAATTTAATACAAACTCAAATAATAAATTAAGGATAAATTTTTATTAAAATTATGTTAAGGGGCAAACTGTATATCAAAGTGATTTGGTGGGTCAAATTGATAATCAAACTTTTGGATATTCCAATTTCATCCCCAAACAATGACTTATTCTAAATTAGTCTTTAATCTTTTATATGTTCCAATTTGTCCCCAAACTTTTGGTGGGTCACTGCAACCTCCGAAAGATCTCCAACGGCTGTCGATTTCATGTTACGGAGCTACCAAGTTCCCGTCTTTGGTAGAGAATCCTTCTTTTGCTAAAATAGAGCAGCTAGACCTCTTGGACTGTATAAATTGCAAATCATTTCCATCACTCGGGCATCTACCGTCACTCAGAAGCTTAAACGTAAGAGGCATGCATGCAGTGACAAAGTTGGGCCCTGAATTTTTCGGCAATGGGTTTCGATCTTTGGAGATATTGAGGTTTGAGAACATGTCGGAATGGGAAGAATGGATTCATTCTGTTGGCAACATCGACGGTTTCCCCCGACTTCGCGAGCTAATACTGCACAACTGTCCTAGATTAGCAGGAACGTTACCAAGAACCCTTAGTTCTCTGGTAAAACTAGTTGTTCAAAACTGCCCACGGTTAACAAATTCACCTTTAAGCTTCCCATTCTTAGGCGAATTAACCATGGAGGACAGTAGCAGCATGATTCTTAGGAGTATAGTTGGTCAAAACATCACCAGCTTGAAACTCAAGGGAATATCAGATCTTACCTGCATAATCAAGGAGCTACCGAAGGCCTTAACGAAACTGGAAGTCCTAGAAATTGAAAGTTGCAGTGAATTAACATGTTTGTGGCGGAACGGAGCCGAATTGCAAAACCTGCATCGGCTAAAGAGTGTGGCAGTAACGAAATGTCCCAAGCTTGTATCCTTGGTTGGAGACGAGCACGGGCGAGGACTATGCTGCCTGTCGTCTCTTACGGATCTCCGTATCGATAGGTGCCAAAAGTTTGAGTCATTGACAGAAAAAGGGTTGCCTTGTACGATGAAGTGCCTCACAATCCTTGACTGCAAGGCTATGGGGTCACTACAAGACATGAATGGCTGCAATCTTGAAGAGTTAAAGATTATGGGATGCCCTTCTCTCGTGTCCTTCCCCGAAGGCAAGTTGCTCTCAACACTCAAGAGCTTGAGGATCGAAAACTGCATAAATCTACGGTGTCTTCCCGATGGAATAGTGCTCAATCTCCAAGTTCTTAGAATATCTGCTTGTATGAATCTCAGTGCACTGCCTAACCCCATGTGGAACCTCATCTCCCTCCGAGAACTGAGTTTGTCAGACTGTGTGGCTCTGAGATCGATTCCAGAGGGTGGTTTTCCGCCCAACATAACTTCGCTCGAGTTGAGCAACTGGGTAAATCTGAAGCAGCCAATGTCGGAGTGGGGCCTGGACAAACTCAATTTTCTTACGGAACTCAAAATTATCGGTACATGTCCTGCTACAGATTTTGTTTCGTTTCCGTACGAGGGTGTAATACTTCCTTCGACATTAACCAGTCTTTGCCTGGAACGACTCGAGAACTTGGAATATCTGTCCAGGGAGCTGGAGAACCTCGTAGATCTACAAGAATTGCAGATTGAAGGGTGCCGTAAGCTCTGGCTTCTGCCGAAGACGGCACTACCGGCCTCACTGGGACGGTTACGCATCTCAGGCTGTCCGGTTTTACGAGACAGGTGCAGAAAAGAGAAAGGAGAGTACTGGTCCCTCATTTGCGACATCCCTTGCCTTCATATAGATTGAAGCGCCTGTGCTTTCTGTTTTTAGATTATTTTTATGTAAATATATGCTAGAGATTAATGATATTCTAAGGAGTTAATACTCTACTATTAGCTTCACTTAAGAAGTTATGTTTCAGATTTAGAAGTTAATAATCGAATGACAAACAAGCATAAAAAATGATGAAAAGCTATGATCAAAGAATCATTGAAGATGAACAACGGGTTGGTTTAAATTGTAAGCCGCTCGATATTATTTAAATAGGCTTCGAGTTCGAGTTCTTGTGTACGCACAAAATTTCCGTTGGATGACTTCCCATTAAAATTAGGTGTGTAACCCGAATCTATTCAGATTAATTAAGGTAAAACTTTGGAAACGAGAGTACAACCAAAAGAAAAAAATAGTCATTAATGATGAAAGATAAACATGTAGTTTACAGTATCGAATTGACATTGAAGTTGTAAAAAATTTAACGTTAATGTCCAACATTTTAATAATTTTTAAAGGTTGAGGTAAAAGTGATTAAAAGAATTGGGATTAAAGTCATAAAACGGTAAATATTAGATATTAGAGTTGTTATTATGCTGGAAAATAATATCAATTGTCAATTTGAATTAAACCATTAATTATTTGAGTAGAGTTGAAAGAGTTAGACCCTTTATGAAAAAATCTTAATCATTTTATTTGATTGAATGAAAGAATAAATTCTATTTAAATGGATTTAATATATTAAACTTTTATTCTATTATTTTAAAAAATTAAACCCTTAAATTTTATTTAATCGGTAGTTGCATTGGTTTTGGTGTTAGTTGTCGCCCGTCGGTTATTTTTTTTTTAGTTTTTTAATAAGAATAATTATGTCATTACGACATGTTCTCTGTCTTTATAATACGTTTTTCTTTGTCTTTCTGTAGCTTACGGTTTTTTTCCCTTTTTTTCGTTTATCTTTTTTCACATGATTGTATTTAATATCGTCACGACTGATCAAGATAACGCTTATTTGTTATCCTACTGATCTTCCTTGCTTTTGACCCTCAGATTGATTTGGATACGCGTTTTGCGCTCGTGGATAGTTTTCTTAAGTCGCTTGACTTTGATTTGCGATTTTCGATGGTATTTCAATAGATTCATCAACTTTTATGGTTCATTTACCGATGCAGTCATATTTATTTGTATATTTATTTTATTCGAATATTGGTTAGAACATTTTTCTTTTATGATACTTGTGTGCTCTAAGTATCTAGTTTTTGTGTTAATGGTCATATGAAAATATCTTAATTATAATTTAGTTTACGTTTACGATTATACTAGAAAAGTTTTATTGTACTTTTAGATATTTTCTTTTTTAAATAAAACTATGGGCTCCCTATAAAAAAATTAAACCCTTATATAAATAACCTCGAAAAAAGTTATTAGAATATTTACTCCAAATTTATCAACATGTTTATTAAGAACAGTTGAAATGACCATTCAGCTTAGTTGGTAGAGCATAAGGTTTTTAATTTTGAGGTCGTGGGATCGAGTCTTATGGAGGGTATTTTATAATTCGGAGGTGTCCTACGGAAGCTACTCTCAACCTAGTGTTGGGGGCAACCTACTATCTTATTTCCCCCTTACTCTATTACATATGGGAACAAGAAGCAGCTATTTTTTTTTATTAAGAACCGTTGTCCGTTTCCAAAACAACAAAAATAATATCACGCTTAAGCGGAAAAAATCAAGATTTTAATGGCTCCTTTGGATTCGTACAATAGATAAGTGTATAGCGTCCACCGAAAGTGGAATCCACGAGAGCAACACCTACTGTAAAATGTAAGGGTTAATGTATATTTTAAGCCTGATTTGCACCGATTTTTAATTTGACCCCTAATTTTAATTATGGGCTGAAATTTATCTCCTGACTTTTTATTTTATACAATTAACTTTTGAATTTAGCTTCGATCTTTAATTTGATCCCTAACTTCAGTTTCGATATGCTTTTTGGCCACCGACTTTTTTTGGTATAATTTCCCCCTAAACTTTGGCTTTCTCCTATAAATTGGCTCTTGATTTACTTTTTCAATTTTAATAAAATAATTAAAACTTTTATTAATAAGAATATCTAAAGTATTACCAATGGGATTTGATTCAAGTGGTAAGAAGCTTGTTATTGATTGAGCAATGTCTCGAGTTCAAGTATTTGTGTTTGCAGAAAATTTCAGCTGAGAGATTAACCTACCTTGATGAATACAAAGATTTGTTTCCTCTGATTTCTTTTTTCCCTTTACAAGTTTTTGAGTTAAAAATGGTGACCAGTCCTTGTTAAACTTCACTGGGACACTGGTATTATTAAATTTTCAGCCTTTTCTTGCTGCTGTTGCTGAGTTATTGGACTGCCAGTTGTGTGTGGCCCTTCCAAGAACATGGGAACGAGCAACTCTTGACCACTCTTCAGAAATATCTCAGAAAAATTCTTTTTCTTGTTTCAATTATGGTGATTATGACTGGGAGAAGTTTATTAACTATGTAGACATAATTAATGAAACCAAATACATTTTATTGAATAATTTAGGATCACTATATGTATATGTATTTCCCCTGTCCAATAATTCCAATGAGAGAAGAAAATGGAGATATGATATGATATACAATTTTCCCGGAATCGATATCTATTGAAGACAATTAAAACAATGAAAGAAATCGGAAACGTAGAAGAGGAAATCACTCGTAACGTGAGGTCTCCGGGAGAGGTTTTCCGGCGAGAAAATGCCAGATCAATGAAAGTGCCCTCTTTGGTTGGAAGCTTGGCACTTGGTGCCCCGCTCCCCTTACGGTGGCAAATGTTAAGTCTCCGTCATACACCTCGGTAAAACCTCCAACCTGCCACACAGATAATGTTCGATCGATATCTAAAATAATCCGACATGACTTGAACTGAAACTAACCCAAAAGTCTTACCTCCCCATCAAGGTACCATGGGTGCCACTTAGTTTTAACCGGAAGGTTCATCTTCTTAATGGTGTACTTGGTTGAAGTAACTGGTACTCTCCCATCAGTATCGCCGCTACATTGCATCGTATAAAATACATACCACGTCTACACACGCAATGATGATACGTATAAAAATTAAGTTTAGGGCAATGGTTTTAGTACCTGAAAACCCACACTCTTATTCCATTCGCCATTAATTCTTGTAGAAGGGGGATGATTGTGGATGGGCTATCTCCCCATCTGCTGATGATATCGCTGCAGGGTTCCCAATCATGGTCGAGTTTCGTTACATTGGCATGCATGGCCTCTTGAACATCAACCCTGTTTAGATAAGCATGTACGTAATCATCGCTGCACGGGTCGAAACTTACCACCTACATGGAACATCAAAGAATCAGATTACTGGACTCATCACCGTTCGAATGTTCGATGTTTAACCGCTGTTTTAACTTACGGAAGGCTTCCTGGGAATGACTGTGAGACTGGAATTGTGGCATAAAGGGGCATAGATATTGTAAATATCAAGGTAGTAAGTATCCCTACTTATCTCATCCATGGCTGATTGGCACTTGGTTCCGATCTCCAAGCTCTCCTCGGACGAAAAACTGCAATATTTGTTTATCCCATGTGCAGTTTCATCTGAAATGAGGGCATGGCTCTCCATTTAATCATACATTCCTTTGTTATCAGTTTCATCATTGATCACAGCATTCCCAATCTGCAACATTTTTCATCAAGAATAAGGTCAAACAATGGCAGCTGTACCATAATGTCCTAAGCTTCAATCATGTCTTCATGTTGGTGGAAAAAAACAGAATTATTGGTCAAAAGACAGAACATAGAGAGACAGAGAGAGAAATACTAGAATTCCTTTGAGATTGATGAGGGTTTGATTAGCTTTGATGTTGTGTTGGAGAATGGTGTGAGCAAGTTGAGGAACATAATGCCCCGCGTAGCTTTCTCCAGCGATGTAAAATTCCCTGTTCTTGTATTCAGGAAATCTCACCAACCAGTTCAACAGGAAGACATAATTGTCAACAGCTGTTTTACTATCACCACTCTTCTCATAATCTGATGTTGCGTTGGAGTATGAAAATCCTACCCCAGCAGGAGACTCCACAAACAGAACATTTGCAGCTGCAATTCAAAAAAGAGTTGTTCAGGTTTCCGAGACGAAATTCTGCGGTATCCGGTTCGGGTTATTCAACAAACGGATAAGATACACGTGGTTATAAATATAATGTTACCATAGTTCCATGAGTATCTGTTTCTGTAAAGTGTTTTCCCATTGCTATGAACCCTGAAGGGTCCAAGCTCTTCCATTGCTCCATAGGCTAGAGATGAACACCCAGGCCCTGGTCACAAAACCATACCATCAACTCACTATTTTCACTGTGGCATTTCATAAAAAAAAACAGTTACTTAGGTGCATTGGGAATAAAGTCAAAGTGTGACAGTTTATAAAAAAAATTAGCAATGGACATTAGATTTTTTTTTATTAAAGGATAAATTTATAAAATTTTAGACCGTATGTCGTATTAAGAAATATGGCCTCATTATAGGAAAGAGAGTGACACAGAAGTATACAGCCAGATAAGAATCCTGTGACTTGAAGGATCATCGTCATCGTACAAAACCAAAAAAAAAACAGAATTTGTATCAATGAAAAGAGAACAATCAATCATTCAAAAGTACCTCCATTAAGCCAAAGAAGAAGAGGCAAGGACTCCTTAGAATAATGCTGAGCCTCCACGAAATAATAGTAAAGTGCACGACCCGCCGATTTATCCACAGTCATATAGCCACCGTACTGTTCGAACGAGGCACGAGGCTGTCCGGGCAACATCCGAATCCTGTCTTTTTCCTTCATTTCACGCTGTGGATGTACACTGCTCTTTTTTATGTGATGAATTGGCTTGAAACGAGACTTGTCGAATCCAGAATTCGCCTTCATCTTGTTCCTGTAGAGATGGGTTAGAGCTTGTGTTTGCTTCTGGCAATGAACTGGGGCAGCCACCATGGATGAAACAATGAAGAAGAAGAAGAATGTAAGAAGGAGAAAAGGGTATCTGTCCATTGTGTTTTTCTGTGGGACAAGAGAGAAAGAGAAGGGAGAAAGATGGGTTTTTTTTTGGATCCAAAAGTGAGTTTGTTTTATATCAAATTCGTCAAGAATATAAAGGAATAATTAATGTAGAAGAAGAATATGGAGGAGACAAAATGCAGATGAAAGCCGACCATGCATGTACAAAGAACATGTTATACAGTAGTATAATATAATATGAGCATTTTGGTGTGCAAAGGTAACAAAATCATATGGAACTGGAACAAGAGAACTTTCTTTTTCCAGATTTTGAACAAGTAGTGGAGTAGGTGAAGCTGAAAAATAATAATAATAAATATGGATGGCTTGTCCAGATCACTGGAATAATCAATCATTAATTCATATTTGATATTTGATAATATATATACTTTATAAATATAACTATTCTAATTTAAAATTTTATTAAAAAATATTTTTTTTATCATTAAAATCTTCTAATGAATTTGGTTTAGTTGAAGTTAAAGAATTGAAAAGATGGGCAGCTTTGATTCTGTTTAGGAAAATGGTAAATTTGATGAGAGTAGCCGCCGGTAAGACAGTAGCGACGGTAGGGGACTGCCTGCCGCCCTGAACGACTGCGGTAGAAGCCGAATACCTACGGGGCCAACCAAATCCTCAAAGGCTAAATTAGCCAATAAGTAAGAAAGTTGATAAAAATATATAAATATTAGGCCTAAAGTCATATTTTTACCCACCTAAATTATTATAAGGTAAATTATATTTAGTAAATGAACTATCTTATCTCTCTTATTTTATTCATCGTACTTTTAATTTTTTTTAATTTACTTATTTAACCTCTATATATTGAATTTTTCACTTTGATGACATGGATTATTTTATTATTTTTTATTATGACGAGGAAAATTTATTAATATTTAATTTTAAATATAATTTAAAATAATAAAAATTAAAATATCTAAAACACCTAAATTCCAACCCCCAATCCCCCACCCTTTTTGGTTCCAGTTTCATCCAACCCTCCACCTTCCTTAACCAACTTCTTCTTCAACCCATTTTCCTCGATGTCTTCTTCTTCTTCCATGTTGCTGCCTTGTTCTGTAATTTTCTTTCACATTGGATAATGATTATGTGCATAAACAAGTCAAGAATGAAGAAAGCTAAAGTGAGTATTCACTGATTTTGGGGAAAAAACACAACTAAATGGGAATTTTTAGTGACTTTAAAGAGAAAATGGAAAAATTTTGGTTCAAATTGGCTGATTTTGTGTTACTTTTTGTAGTTTAGTGCAAACAACAAGTGAAGAATTAAAGTGGATATTTTTCGGGTTTTGAAGAGAGAACATAATTCTTTTTTGTTCGAAATGGTAGAACTAGGGGTGAGCGTTTCGATTGAGTCGAGTTAAAAAATTTTGAGTTATTCGAGTTGAAGTGTCCTATTTTATAAATCGGAGTTGATTTGAAATTTTTTCGAGTCGACTCAAATTTTTGAGTTTCTATTTAAATTGAATTGTAAATATTTACAATATTATGACATTATTTGATTTTAATTTAAATGGTACTTTATAATCATATACAATACATATATATTTTTTCGTATTTTTTTCATATCTAATTTATATAATATTAAAATATTAATAAAAATTTTCCTTATCATATGTAAATAATAATAAAATAATTCACATCATCATAGAGTGAAAAAAATTCAATGAATAAAGTCCAAGGAGTAAACTAAAAGAATTATAAATACAATGAATAAAATAGGAGAGAGAAAATAATTAAATTACTAAATTTGTAATTTATCTGTTATTATATTGTCCCTTATCCAGTAAAGCGTCGTTAAGTATTACAATGTTCTTGTGGTATTTAATTGTAAATTGTAATGCTCACATGAAGATTTATATATGAATGATAACGTGTTAAATGAGCTTAATTAATTTTTTTAAAAATGAAGATCTTAATATTTTTTTAAAAAAAGTTTGAAGGTTTATTTATTTATAAATAAATAAATAAAAATTATAAAAAACAAAATAAAACTAAAATATTAAAAAATTTAAATGCTTTTGGTTGAGTAAATATTCTAGTGTTTCTCGACATTGTATTACAACCACAATGACTTATTAGATTTTCTCCCACTATTTAAAATTGGTAAAGCCGCACGAACCAAATAATTTCGGTGGTAAATGAATTATTATTCCTCCTATTTAAAACAATAATTTTTATTTAATTTTTATAATATTTAAAATTTTCAATAATTTTTGCCTTTTAAGATTAAATAAATTAATTGCATCTTCAATCTTTGTAAAAAATTATTAAAATTTCAGTCCAATTAATACTATAAATCACCATATTATTATATTTAATTATCACGACTCATGTCAACACTATAACAATTAATGTTAATTTTTGTTAGTTAAAGAATGATATATGATGATGTAGGCCACGATTGTACCATTTGGCGGTGGACCCATGATGGCGGCTACACGGTCAGTTCAGCTTTTGAAGTGCTTAACCAAGATGGGTGGGATGAGGCCGAGAACAAGTGGAAACTAGCTTGGGAGTTCAATGGCCATCAAAGAATCAAGAGTTTCATTTTGCTAGTACTCCGACGTTGGCTTATAACAAACGATGAGCGGAAGAGACGTGGAATCTCAGATTCCGATCAACGTCCGACGTGTGGAACTAGCGGTGAATCCATTATCCATGTCCTTAGGGATTGTCATGTGGCGCGCTAGATCTGGACGCAAGTTATTCCTAATAACAAAGGCACGGTATTTCTCTCTTCCCCTTTTGGACTGGTTACATTACAATCTCTCTAATGCTACAAGATTGGACACTACTGTATGAGTAGAAGCAACTCTTTGGCATCATTATTTAGCGCTTGTGGAAAAAGAGGAATTTTTTTCATTTTCGTAGGGCAAGTCTGGTCCTCTACGGCAACCATTCACTCTGCCAAAACCTGGGCTCAGCTGATTAAATGCTCTCGCACAAGCTATTCTGGTCCTTCGAAAGCGCCCGATACGAATAGCTTTACGCTAAAAGCAAACGGAGCTATGGATCCTGTAACGAATGAAGCGGCATGTGTTGAGCAATCCGTAATAACAATGGCGACTTGATCTCGGGACTCTATAGGAATATTGGCCAATGTCCAGTTCTCCAAGCGGAGTTGTGGGGAGTCTTGGATGGACTCGAGTTAGGTTGGTCCCTCGGAGTTAGATTACGGTTGAACTCGACAGTAGTGAGATGCCTCCGATCTCCATCCTCCCCGCATGAGTTTTCGATCATGAGAAGAATTAGACATTACCTTAGCCGTGAGTGGACGATCAAGGTTAAACCGATCCCTCGCGAAGCTGATAAATTAGCTGATTGTATCGCCAAGCTTGACAGATGTCAACCTCTGGGGCATCCAGTTGAGTCCCAGAGTATCCTCAACTATGACCAAACAGAGATGAGGATAAATTACCCCACTAATACATTCAATTTATCGCTTTTACTCTTATCGTGTTTCTACATCAATTTAACTCTTAAAATTGCTTAATCACGTCGTTTTATATCATACCCTAACTTAAAATCTAAATTATAAAACTTAAACCTTAAATCACAACTTCAAAACCTCAAAACAATAAATCTTAAATCACGACTTAGGGTTTATAATTTAGGGTTTTAAGTTTGTGATAGGATATAAAATGATACGATTAACTTCAAAAATTAAATTGATGCAAAAACATAATAGGGGCGAAAGTGATAAATTAAATCTACTACAAAAATAAAAATGATCCTTAAACTAATTTATTATCACTATATGTATATGTATTTCCCCTGTCCAATAATTCCAATGAGAGAAGAAAATGGAGATATGATATGATATACAATTTTCCCGGAATCGATATCTATTGAAGACAATTAAAACAATGAAAGAAATCGGAAACGTAGAAGAGGAAATCACTCGTAACGTGAGGTCTCCGGGAGAGGTTTTCCGGCGAGAAAATGCCAGATCAATGAAAGTGCCCTCTTTGGTTGGAAGCTTGGCACTTGGTGCCCCGCTCCCCTTACGGTGGCAAATGTTAAGTCTCCGTCATACACCTCGGTAAAACCTCCAACCTGCCACACAGATAATGTTCGATCGATATCTAAAATAATCCGACATGACTTGAACTGAAACTAACCCAAAAGTCTTACCTCCCCATCAAGGTACCATGGGTGCCACTTAGTTTTAACCGGAAGGTTCATCTTCTTAATGGTGTACTTGGTTGAAGTAACTGGTACTCTCCCATCAGTATCGCCGCTACATTGCATCGTATAAAATACATACCACGTCTACACACGCAATGATGATACGTATAAAAATTAAGTTTAGGGCAATGGTTTTAGTACCTGAAAACCCACACTCTTATTCCATTCGCCATTAATTCTTGTAGAAGGGGAATGATTGTGGATGGGCTATCTCCCCATCTGCTGATGATATCGCTGCAGGGTTCCCAATCATGGTCGAGCTTCGTTACATTGGCATGCATGGCCTCTTGAACATCAACGCTGTTTAGATAAGCATGTACGTAATCATCGCTGCACGGGTCGAAACTTACCACCTACATGGAACATCAAAGAATCAGATTACCGGACTCATCACCGTTCGAATGTTCGATGTTTAACTGCTGTTTTAACTTACGGAAGGCTTCTTGGGAATGACTGTGAGACTGGAATTGTGGCATAAAGGGGCATAGATATTGTAAATATCAAGGTAGTAAGTATCCCTACTTATCTCATCCATGGCTGATTGGCACTTGGTTCCGATCTCCAAGCTCTCCTCGGACGAAAAACTGCAATATTTGTTTATCCCATGTGCAGTTTCATCTGAAATGAGGGCATGGCTCTCCATGTAATCATACATTCCTTTGTTATCAGTTTCATCATTGATCACAGCATTCCCAATCTGCAACATTTTTCATCAAGAATAAGGTCAAACAATGGCAGCTGTACCATAATGTCCTAAGCTTCAATCATGTCTTCATGTTGGGGGGAAAAACAGAATTATTGGTCAAAAGACAGAACATAGAGAGACAGAGAGAGAAATACTAGAATTCCTTTGAGATTGATGAGGGTTTGCTTAGCTTTGATGTTGTGTTGGAGAATGGTGTGAGCAAGTTGAGGAACATAATGCCCCTCGTAGCTTTCTCCAGCGATGTAAAATTCCCTGTTCTTGTATTCAGGAAATCTCTCCAACCAGTTCAACAGGAAGACATAATTGTCAACAGCTGTTTTACTATCACCACTCTTGTCATAATCTGATGTTGTGTTGGAGTATGAAAATCCTACCCCAGCAGGAGACTCCACAAACAGAACATTTGCAGCTGCAATTCAAATAAGAGTTGTTCAGGTTTCCGAGACGAAATTATGCGGTATCCGGTTCGGATAAGATACACGTGGTTATAAATATAATGTTACCATAGTTCCATGAGTATCTGTTTCTGTAAAGTGTTTTCCCATTGCTATGAACCCTGAAGGGTCCAAGCTCTTCCATTGCTCCATAGGCTAGAGATGAACACCCAGGCCCTGGTCACAAAACCATACCATCAAATCACTATTTTCACTGTGGCATTTCATAAAAAAAAAACAGTTACTTAGGTGCATTGGGAATAAAGTCAAAGTGTGACAGTTTATAAAAAAAATTAGCAATGGACTTTAGATTTTTTTTATTGAAGGATAAATTTATAAAATTTTAGACCGTATGTCATATTAAGAAATATGGCCTCATTATAGGAAAGAGAGTGACACAGAAGTATACAGGCAGATAAGAATCCTGTGACTTGAAGGATCATCTTCATCGTACAAAACCAAAAAAAAAAAACAGAATTTGTATCAATGAAAAGAGAACAATCAATCATTCAAAAGTACCTCCATTAAGCCAAAGAAGAAGAGGCAAGGACTCCTTAGAATAATGCTGAGCCTCCACGAAATAATAGTAAAGTGCACGACCCGCCGATTTATCCACAGTCATATAGCCACCGTACTGTTCGAACGAGACACGAGGCTGTCCGGGCAACATCCGAATCCTGTCTTTTTCCATCATTTCATGCTGTGGATGTACACTGGTCTTTTTTATGTGATGAATTGGCTTGAAACGAGACTTGTCGATTCCAGAATTCGCCTTCATCTTGTTCCTGTAGAGATGGGTTAGAGCTTGTGTTTGCTTCTGGCAATGAACTGGGGCAGCCACCATGGATGAAACAATGAAGAAGAAGAAGAATGTAAGATGGAGAAAAGGGTATCTGTCCATTGTGTTTTTCTGTGGGACAAGAGAGAAAGAGAAGGGAGAAAGATGGGTTTTTTTTTGGATCCAAAAGTGAGTTTGTTTTATATCAAATTCGTCAAGAATATAAAGGAATAATTAATGTAGAAGAAGAATATGGAGGAGACAAAATGCAGATGAAAGCCGACCATGCATGTACAAAGAACATGTTATACAGTAGTATAATATAATATGAGCATTTTGGTGTGCAAAGGTAACAAAATCATATGGAACTGGAACAAGAGAACTTTCTTTTTCCAGATTTTGAACAAGTAGTGGAGTAGGTGAAGCTGAAAAATAATAATAATAAATATGGATGGCTTGTCCAGATCACTGGAATAATCAATCATTAATTCATATTTGATATTTGATAATATATATACTTTATAAATATAACTATTCTAATTTAAAATTTTATTAAAAAATATTTTTTTTATCACTAAAATCTTCTAATGAATTTGGTTTAGTTGAAGTTAAAGAATTGAAAAGATGGGCAGCTTTGATTCTGTTTATGAAAATGGTAAATTTGATGAGAGTAGCCGCCGGTAAGACAGTAGCGACGGTAGGGGACTGCCTGCCGCCCTGAACGACTGCGGTAGAAGCCGAATACCTACGGGGCCAACCAAATCCTCAAAGGCTAAATTAGCCAATAAGTAAGAAAGTTGATAAAAATATATAAATATTAGGCCTAAAGTCATATTTTTACCCACCTAAATTATTATAAGGTAAATTATATATTTAGTAAATGAACTATCTTATCTCTCTTATTTTATTCATCGTACTTTTAATTTTTTTTAATTTACTTATTTAACCTCTATATATTGAATTTTTTTCACTTTGATGACATGGATTATTTTATTATTTTTTATTATGACGTGGAAAATTTATTAATATTTAATTTTAAATATAATTTAAAATAATAAAAATTAAAATATCTAAAACACCTAAATTCCAACCCCCAATCCCCCACCCTTTTTGGTTCCAGTTTCATCCAACCCTCCACCTTCCTTAACCAACTTCTTCTTCAACCCATTTTCCTCGATGTCTTCTTCTTCTTCCATGTTGCTGCCTTGTTCTGTAATTTTCTTTCACATTGGATAATGATTATGTGCATAAACAAGTCAAGAATGAAGAAAGCTAAAGTGAGTATTCACTGATTTTGGGGAAAAAACACAACTAAATGGGAATTTTTAGTGACTTTAAAGAGAAAATGGAAAAATTTTGGTTCAAATTGGCTGATTTTGTGTTACTTTTTGTAGTTTAGTGCAAACAACAAGTGAAGAATTAAAGTGGATATTTTTCGGGTTTTGAAGAGAGAACATAATTCTTTTGTTCGAAATGGTAGAACTAGGGGTGAGCGTTTCGATTGAGTCGAGTTAAAAAATTTTGAGTTATTCGAGTTGAAGAGTCTTATTTTATAAATCGGAGTTGATTTGAAATTTTTTCGAGTCGACTCAAATTTTTGAGTTTCTATTTAAATTGAATTGTAAATATTTACAATATTATGACATTATTTGATTTTAATTTAAATGGTACTTTATAATCATATACAATACATATATATTTTTTCGTATTTTTTTCATATCTAATTTACATATATCATACAAAGTCAAAGGACTCAACTCAAACTTAAAAAACAATCTACTAATTACTAAAAATTTTGAGTTATTCGAGTTATATTTTACAACTCGATTTGAACTGCAAATTTTTTCGAGCCGAGTCTAGTCGAAAAAATTAGTTTTTCAAGTCGAGTCGAGTTTTACTTACGCTAGATAGAACGGCTGATTCAAGGAACAAAAAAAGGTTGGGAGGGATTGGGTTTAAAAATGATTTGGGGAATAGGAACTAGGGTTTAATATAAACTTTAAGGTATAATTTAGTATTTTTAAGCTTATTTTTTATTATATCCTATATAATATTAAAATATTAATAAAAAATTTCCTTATCATATGTAAATAATAATAAAATAATTCACATCATCATAGAGTGAAAAAAATTCAATGAATAAAGTTCAATGAGTAAACTAAAAGAATTATAAAACAATGAATAAAATAGGAGAGAGAAAATAATAAAATTACTAAATTTGTAATTTATCCGTTATTATATTTGTCCCTTATCCAGTAAAGCGTCGTTAAGTATTACAATGTTCTTGTGGTATTTAATTGTAATGCTCACATGAAGATTTATATATGAATGATAACGTGTTAAATGAGTTTAATTATTTTTTTTTTTAAATGAAGATCTTAATATTTTTTTAAAAAAAGTTTGAAGGTTTATTTATTTATAAATAAATAAATAAAAATTATAAAAAAACAAAATAAAACTAAAATATTAAAAAAATTAAATGCTTTTGGTTGAGTAAATATTCTAGTGTTTCTCGACATTGTATTACAACCACAATGACTTATTAGATTTTCTCCCACTATTTAAAATTGGTAAAGCCGCACGAACCAAATAATTTCGGTGATAAATGAATTATTATTCATCCTATTTAAAACAATAATTTTTATTTAATTTTTATAATATTTAAAATTTTCAATAATTTTTGCCTTTTAAGATTAAATAAATTAATTGCATCTTCAATCTTTGTAAAAAATTATTAAAATTTCAGTCCAATTAATACTATAAATCATCATATTATTATATTTAATTATCACGACTCATGTCAACACTATAACAATTAATGTTAATTTTTGTTAGTTAAAGAACGATATATGATGATGTAGGCCACGATTGTACCATTTGGCGGTGGACCCATGATGGCGGCTACACGGTCAGTTCAGCTTTTGAAGTGCTTAACCAAGATGGGTGGGATGAGGCCGAGAACAAGTGGAAACTAGATTGGGAGTTCAATGGCCCTCAAAGAATCAAGAGTTTCATTTTGCTAGTACTCCGACGTTGGCTTATAACAAATGATGAGCGGAAGAGACGTGGAATCTCAGATTCCGATCAACGTCCGACGTGTGGAACTAGCGGTGAATCCATTATCCATGTCCTTAGGGATTGTCATGTGGCGCGCTAGATCTGGACGCAAGTTATTCCTAATAACAAAGGCACGGTATTTCTCTCTTCCCCTTTTGGACTGGTTACATTACAATCTCTCTAATGCTACAAGATTGGACACTACTGTATGAGTAGAAGCAACTCTTTGGCATCATTATTTAGCGCTTGTGGAAAAAGAGGAATTTTTTTCATTTTCGTAGGGCAAGTCTGGTCCTCTACGGCAACCATTCACTCTGCCAAAACCTGGGCTCAGCTGATTAAATGCTCTCGCACAAGCTATTCTGGTCCTTCGAAAGCGCCCGATACGAATAGCTTTACGCTAAAAGCAAACGGAGCTATGGATCCTGTAACGAATGAAGCGGCGTGTGTTGAGCAATCCGTAATAACAATGGCGACTTGATCTCGGGACTCTATAGGAATATTGGCCAATGTCCAGTTCTCCAAGCGGAGTTGTGGGGAGTCTTGGATGGACTCGAGTTAGGTTGGTCCCTCGGAGTTAGATTACGGTTGAACTCGACAGTAGTGAGATGCCTCGGATCTCCATCCTCCCCGCATGAGTTTTCGATCATGAGAAGAATTAGACATTACCTTATCCGTGAGTGGACGATCAAGGTTAAACCGATCCCTCGCGAAGCTGATAAATTAGCTGATTGTATCGCCAAGCTTGACAGATGTCAACCTCTGGGGCATCCAGTTGAGTCCCAGAGTATCCTCAACTATGACCAAACAGAGATGAGGACAAGTCACCCCACTAATACATTCAATTTATCGTTTTTACTCTTATCGTGTTTCTACATCAATTTAACTCTTAAAATTGCTCAATCACATCGTTTTATACCATACCCTAACTTAAAATCTAAATTATAAAACTTAAACCCTAAATCATAACTTCAAAACCTCAAAACAACAAATCCTAAATCACGACTCAGGGTTTATAATTTAGGGTTTTAAGTTTGTGATAGGATATAAAATGATACGATTAACTTCAAAAATTAAATTGATGCAAAAACATAATAGGGGCGAAAGTGATAAATTAAATCAACTACAAAGATAAAAATGACCCTTAAGCTAATTTATTATTATAAAAAAAAGGTTTAATTCTTATTTAAAGATGTTGCATTGAAATTTCAGCGTTTAATTCTATAAAGTTCTAAGAAAACGTCTAACAGTCTTATCCTGTAGAGCGGTCCATTTTAGAACTGTCAATTTCGGCTTCAGTTTTCCTTTCTAACTTGATTTTTGTCTGCGATTGACCATTCATTTTTCTTTCATTAAAAAAAATAATTTAGTGGTTTAGTTCAAGTTGTAGGTAGATTTACATTGTTTAAATAATATTTCGAGTTTAGAGTATGTACAAAAATATTTATTGAGAGATTCATCTATTAAAATCAGATGTACGACACAATTAATCTCGATTATTCTTTAGAACCAAAGGACAAAAAATGATTTAAATATTCTATTATGCTCAATAAAATTTGAATTAAACTATTTATTCATTTTTATAATATAAACTTTATATGTCATCTTTTTTATAGTATATGTCATCATTTTAACAACACTAAGTAATTATAGAATCAATTTAAATTTATAAATAACATTATAAATGTAATCCTTTGACTTTTAATTATCGAATTTAATAGCAATAGCCATTTTTCCTATTGCTTCCCACCAAGACGTGTAGGAGATTTCAATAGGATGAAAAGAAAGGGACAGTTTTAGGAAATCATTTTCTAAAATGTGTGGAACTGATCCAACGCACGAGTTTGCAGGGGTGTTAAAAATTTCGGTTAATCGGTTAAACCGATTGAATTGAAATATTTTCGGTTAATCAGTCGTTTAATTTTAAATTCAATCGGATAATATTAATGATTTTTTCAAAGTTTAGTTAACTGTTAATACAGTTTGAAATCAGTTAATTAACCGAATTAACATAAAATTTTAAAATATTTAAAATATTATTTATATATTAATAACTTTAGTAGTATTTAAATTTCGGTTTTAACTAAATTAATTGATCGAATTAACCGAATTAGTCAAAAAAATTAAATATTTAATATAATATATATTATTTAAAATTTTGATTAATTCAGTTAACTGACCGATTAACAGAACTTTGTTCGATTCGGTTAATTATTTTCAAATTTTTTTTATTCGATTAACGGTTAAAACTAAAAATATTCGATTAATGAAATTTTAAAAATTCGGTTCGATTTGTTGACCGAACCTTGATTGAACACCCGTACGATTAAACACCCCTACAAGTTTGTGGGCAAAATTCATTCAATATCGTAGGCTGACTAACTATTTAGTTCAATACGACATTAAATATTTTATAAAGTAATCGAAAAATTAAATTTTAAAATATACACGTAATCGGCCAGTGAGTAGGAAGCTTCTGATGTTGGTCAATGCAGCATCAGGCTGTTGAACCCCATGGCTTTGCTTCACGTGTAGGAAGTAGGAACAAGCACATACAGCTAAGCCCCATTTGTTCTTTACTCGAGTTTATAACTGGACAATATTAGTTCCCATCCCACACGCTACTTTTTAATCATTTCATGTGCCAAAAAACCTTAATCTCTCTCTCTCTCTCTCTCACACACACACACATATATATATATATATATATATATATATATATATATATATATATATATACTTCTGATTTCAAGACATCACCTTGACTAATTTAAAAAGACATGAGTTATATACTTAACTTTGTTGAATAAATTTTTTAAAAGAAATTTTTTACATATATAATGACTTAAATTCAAGACTTAATTAATTAAGTGATATCAAATTATTTATCACTTAAATCAATCATTGTTATTAATTACATAAATTTATTCGATATTTATTATAATGATCAAAAGCTCAAAACAGTAAAAAAGGACGGTTTAACTAGATTTTTAATCAAACTGATTGAACTGAAAATTGATTATCTGAACCATTTGAAGGTTAATTACAGGACATGTAATCTGGTTTCCCGGTCTCCAAAATCCAACGGCAGGACACAGTCTTTACTTGCAAATTACTCTCAAGACGCCCAATTGTCCTTACAAAACCGTGTTCCGAATGCACCAAAAAAGAACAGGATAAGACCATTTGTCCAAAAGTGGCCTATTGTTTTACAACTTTTGTTCCTGTATTTGTTGAGCTCAAGCAACAGCTTCATCTTCACTTTCCTTCTCTCCAAGATATATATATATATATATATATATAACCCCAGATTTCAACGCATCTTACCCATAACACAAACTAAAAACTTCATCAAAACTAAACCCAAAAAGCTTCTCTTTTGTTGTCAATGGTGCTCTTGGTACAAAAGCTCAGCAAATTCTACTCCAAGCTGGAAAATCACCACCGCCGCCACCGAGCAGAGGTTGATGTTTTGTCGGCTTCTTTACAGGCTTTCAGGTCCGATGTTTCGAATTACATGAACCAGTTGTTGTGGTTTAATCCGGAACCCAGATCAAAAATCTTGTCATTTTCATGGATCAAACGATGTTTGGAGCTCCTTCCTATGATCAACAAGGCGTTTATAAAGCTAGTGGATGACATGGACTACCCAATGACCAGCTGGGAAGCTGCTTCTCTCGACGAGTATCTCAGCCACGGCTTGCATTTGCTGGACCTTCTAAATTCCGTCAGTTCCTCTCTTTCTCACCTGTCGCATGCTCGGCTTTCAATCGCACACGGCCTCAACCTCGTGGAGAATTCACCTTCCATGGCTATAAAGCATCTCAAGCCAATCCAGCCACAAAGTTCAAGCAAGGACATCAAGGGATTGTTAAACGAGGAAGATTGCGAGGGGAAGTTTGGTTCTTGCAAGGAAAGGGTAATCAATGAAGCTATGATGGAGATAAAGAGCATTGGGTTCTGGGTATTTGGGGTTGTTTTGGCTTCCTTGTCGGGTGAGACCAGACCATACTTGGAGATGAAACAAGTGATTTCAGGCTTCAATAAAGCTTCTTCATTGATTGATGTAATGGATTCATGTGTGTTTGATGTTATAGTGGAGAAAGGTGAGACGTTGAAAGAGGTCAAGGAGCTTAACAGCGCAGCAGGTTCACTTGTATCAGCAATTGTCTCTGGGAAAACAAGCGATGCCGCCATGGATTTGGAGGGGAAATTGAGTGTTTTCGAGGAGGAGATTGAAGTATTGGAAAAGCAAGTGGATGCCTTGTTTTCCAAGGCATTGGCAACCAGAAATGAACTGCTTCACGGTGTCAGTCAACTCAAGCAATGACGTCGAATTAACAATTTCTTGTGTAAATAGAAAAAATAAACATTCATACATTTGTTCTCCTTTTTTTATATATGTTATCTTCAAAATTATTAATGGAAATGGAACAGTTTTCTTGCAACTTGTACTTGCAGGGAAGATTGAGAACTCTGGAAGTAGAACAAAAACAAAAAACTAAGTCCATTTTGATACAAAAAGGAAAGCCTATTTGCGAATATAATATCTTTTTCCCCAATAACTGTTGGTACTAAAAGTACATCCAATATACTAATATGAAACGTCTATAACTTCACTGTGATGGACAATTTCGATTCGAACAAAGGGTTCTTTAAAAGAACTACCGAACTAGACTCAATTGTACCATGCCCATATCTAACTTTTGTCATCTCTGTTAGGGGCCAAGGGGACGGCATTTCGGGAAGAATCATGCTGGCCCCAAGTGGCTCTCTGAGTCATTAGAACAGCTTTTTCGTTCCAGTTTCTTTCTTTTGGGATAGTCACTTGGCAACCTGATATTGCAGAGACAGACATAGTTAGTCTAGGAGAACGGACAATAGTGGTGAAAAGGGCAACAACTTCATTTTGGTCAGCAAGTACAACCTATATCAAACAATCAAGGAACACTTGGGCAACACAATAGAATGGAATGAAGTAATGACTTCATTGTTAGAGTTAATCTCGAGAACAAACTACCCAAATATAAGATATATATACCCTAAATGCAAGGTAGTGTCTGAATCTCCCTTTTCAACAGTGCAAGCACAGGTGCCATCTGGACTGGGAATAATATGACTCATGAGAGAATTTTTCCCTTCGACAGGATAGTATTCGAAATAGGATTGGGCCAGGTGATCAGCTGATGCAAAGAAACCTTTTAGCTCCTCAACCTGCATCAGTAGGCACAAGAAAAAACAGGTTACGAGTATACCAACCCATAATGAATGGTTTTCGGTTTCATCAATAGAAATATGACTTGCCTGTCTGCGTAAAGTTTCATTCTCAAGCAATGCCCGCTGCTCCTGGAAACAGAAATTCAGATGAACTAATTAACTGGAAGGGATTTTAAACTTTTTAAAAAAAAAATTAATCTTAAATATAAATATATATATATATATATATATATATTAATCCACTTCATTGACAGATATACAACAGGAAAGATGCATGGAACTGTATGTTTTAGCCCTTTTCAGTGTGTTATTTCACAAATTAAATTACTTTCATTAAATTTTCCACTATCCACTTTCCTCCCATCCTTCTGGTTCCCACCATTTGCGTACTACCATCCTTATTATTCTCGGTTTAGAGTAACTTCGAGTTTTTATAGCAAATGTTTTGCAAGTTCCATGAGACCTTGCCTCCGCACAACTATGATCAAGCATTCTCCTTGTGAATATCAAATTTTCTTTTCAAAATGAGCCTATAGTTGGAGATAACCATAGGCGTAGAATCCATTTTTTATTGTTCAAAAACATGGTTTTCAGACAATACAAAGACATGCAGAGTGGGATCCGACATACTTGTGTTCTCGATTGCTCTAGCTGTTCCATAAGCACTTGTTCCTGAAATGGTAGATATAGTATTAAGGCCTCTCGAGTTAACAGATTGTTTCTAGAAATATGTAACAAACCTAATAGATCTGATGAATTTGGAGAAAATGTCATACAACCTTCTTCTCCTTCACAGATGACAACCCTTCACTAAGCTGCTGCTCCAGGACGTCAAGCTCTTTCAAGCTCATGCTGGTCAAGTTCTTACCCAACAGATGTCTATAAAGTCAGAAAAGTAATTAGCTTAAGGGAAAGTACTATCTCTGTATAGAAGAAAAATATAAAAGTTAACACAAACAGATATTTAAGACGACATACAATTGTTTCATTTGCAGCTTTGCAACTTCATCTTTCAGATTTTCTGTCTCCTTAGAGTCTTGCTTCTGCAGCAAGTGTATACTCGAAATCATCAGAATGAATATTTTCAGCATATACAACTATTGTAAGATAAATATGAATGAAACAGAAACATGTTGGAAAACAAAATTTAGTCAACTTATTTCGACTGGTAGTAACCACATGCCATACACAATTAAGTCTTAGATTCTAACTTCCAATTATCATCTTGAGATACAACAAGGACATACAGATGATGATGTTGAAATATGTTGTTCCGAGACAAAAGGGTTTGTATTTGTAAGCATAAAATGCAGATTACCTCTGCTTTATGTTCCATTAGAGGTATCTCCGGAGAACCTTGCACACACTTGTTGTACCTGGAAAATGTTTTCTTCATGCTGCACAAATGAACAAATGATTAAACTATGAACCCAATCTACACAATGAAACAAACAATGCTTAAGAAAGCAAAGCACTTTATGATCTCCTATAGCCGGATGCTTCCACTATCTCACTAATCTGCGATCATCGAAGCTAACATGTAGAAACCGACATAGATTAACATGTCCCACTCCTTCAAAGAAGGTACCATCTAAAATTTCAATAAACTCAATCGTTCGGCATACCAAGTTTCCATTGAAATTTCAATCAGAAACTCTCAGTTGGGATATGAAAGGGATGCAACTTTTCACTTGATGTAGGTATAAAAGCAAGCAAGCAAAGAGAAATTGAAAATCTCATTACGATTCTATGCTTGCAATTCAAAACAAAACCTCTAATGTGTCTCACAAGAAAACATGTCATTTACAAAAAGCCCCCCAAAAGTGAAAATTTCAAATTTGCATTTAAACTTCCAATCCAAAAATCACATGCAATGCAACAATCAAGAAATAACAAGGTAACACACAATTTCACAAAAAGTCATTTCTTCCTAAAAAAAAAACATTTTCCCAGCTAAAATGCTAAAATGATAATAAAGTTACCGTCTATCATAAAATGCAACACTTCTGAAAACAGGGAAGAAAAGGTAGAATTGAAGTTCATAAAGAGATTGATGGAAAATAATAGGAAGTCAAAACTATCAGCAGAAACAAATCTAAACGAACATGCAAGAATTTAAACAGATTAAAATTCCCAAAACCCACTAAACTTCTCAATCGGTGACCCCTGTTAAACACCGGTCTGATATTATCCCCAAAAAAAACACTCATGCAATGATAAAAAGAAAGAATCTTCATTTTTTATATGTAACGCATACCCAGAGCTGGAATACTCGAAAATTTTGCCAGTATTGGAGAAAATTATGACAGCAACCTCGGCATCACAGAGAATGGCGAGTTCCTTAGCCTTCTTAAGCAAACCCGCACGCCGCTTGGAGAATGTAACTTGCCTGCTATTAGCATTCTCTATTCTCTTTATCTCTATTTTCCCCCTACCCATTTTTCTCTTCTCTGCTCTGTTTCACTTTCTTCTCAAAAAACCCAGAAAAAAAAAACGATTATTTCAATCTGAAAAAAAAATGACCAACCGCTTCTGGGTTTGAATTTAAATATCCTGCTTTGATTACTAAGAGAAGAGAAAGCTTAATTTGGGGAGTAAGAGAAAGAAAAGGATTGCCAAAATTAGAGAACGGGGGAAGATGGGGAAAAAATTAATAAGGCAAGGCGTTTTCAAACTGGAAACGACATGTTCCCTGCATGGCTCTCTGCAATTCTATTTACAGTGTGCTTGCATTATATATTCCTTTGCCACATTTGGAGAGGTTTACATTTTTCAGGTCTTGGGTCTCTGATGCTGGACCCCACCTTCTTTTTCTGTGGTCCCCTCTTAAAAAAGAGTGAAAAAAAATTATCAATTAATGGGTTAAATTTGCTTGATTTGTTTAAACTCTGTTGAATCTTGGTTGCTATATATAATGTGATTTTTTGATCATTTTTTGAGAAGGTGATACAAATGCATCTTCGGATTTGTGTTCAAAAATGGTAACTTGCAGCACCAGATATATATATATATATGGATTTGGTGGAATCTTTTACCAGATTTGGAGCGGAGTGTCAAAGTTATAATATTTCCCATATTTGGAATATTTCCTTCTTTCATCCACCAAAGGAATTTTAAATAAATATCTCAAAAAAATATTTCTCATTCTAGTAATTACATTTTATAGTAATTTTTAAAGTAACACATATTTGCTAACGAACATATCGTACCGGATAGGGTTATTTACGTGGATAATTATTTATGTTTGTGTTTTATCTATTTTTATCATTGGTTTCAAAATATATAAGATATGGTCACTTTCGTTCTTATTCAATTAAGATGCGGTCACCACGAGTTAATTATCGTTAAATATTTTGGTATAATAATGTATTTGGTCCATGTTATTTACATATTCTCTCGATGTAGTTGTGCTTTTAATAAATTTGATCCTACAATCGAAAGATGTCACTGTCATTGGTACCAAGTGTCGTGTCGTGTATCACCATTCAATTAGAAAACTTACTTTATTTTAATTTATTTCATTTTAATTTAACAAAGTAAAACAAAACAAATTAGTGGGAAATAAATGTATTAAATTAGAATAAATTAACTAACAACCAATTGGTCTGGTGAGATAAGATACTATATCACTTAAGCAAGGTTAGGGGTTTAAATCTTGGCGATTGCGAATGGAGCAAACTGGTCGAGAGGGTCATCCTTTCCTCTGCAGTACCCGATCCGAATTAATCGATCAATAGATCAGATATCGGTGACAATAAAGATCAAATGTGTGATTATATCAATATATCATGTCACTTAATCTGTTAATTGTTAACGACGTTGACATGTGGTGACCATATCTTAATTAAATAAAAAATGAAAGTGAGTATATCTTATATATTTTTAAATCGATGACCAAAAATATATAAAATATAAACATAAATGATCATCCAAATAGTTAACTCTAGAGATAAATATGTGTTCTATTAATCGTATCTTTAAAAAATTCATATGATAAGATGAACTTTGTCCTACGTGACCCAATCGATTAACAAACTAATTAAAATAAAAGTGTGACCGACGAGCCATTTCTTTTTGTGTTTTTAAATATATTTTGAGATGAAGTTTTATGGTTTAGAATTTAGAATCGGATTATTTTAAATTATATTCACATCTTTATTACATAAATATCAATATAATTTTTTAAGACAAAATGAACTCCTTATATAGTAATATAGATATGTTAAAAATTATTTAATTTGAATAAAATATGTATTAAGAATATCAAGTATAAATGAATTGCCCGAATATTATGGGACGAGGTTGAAGGACGTTAATAAAATTTGACATTTTTCATGAATTTCTATAATATTCACATCGTTTGAACGTTTGTTTTTGTTTCAAGTAAAAGAAGGTGACCACAACATTAGAGTAAGCAAAGCTGAGAACGATCTTCTACGGTCAAGGTGATCACAACATTAGAGTGACTGAACCCATAACAATATTTTTATTACTGGGAAACTCATGGATTATTTATGACATTATCTGTTTAATAAAAATTACATGTATCGTATTTTTTAATGGTTTAAAGTTTTTATAGTACATTGTTTTAATAGTTTCATTTTTAATATAATTCTCGCTATAATTTTATTTAAATGTGACACTAATGTAATAATTTTGTTTTTATTCGGTATTGAGATTTAAAGAAAATAATATTATTAATAAGAGAATCTTCGAACTTGAAGAAATCAAGAGAGAATTAATATCAGAAAGAAGAAAAAGATTTACGCAAAAGATAAATACAAGGTCGGCCCAATATATGTGTCAGATGGGTCTTAGCTCAGGCAACATGTTTGAGGGGCATCAGAGTCGGTGGAGATATCACGATTTCACCGAATTTAGAAGGGTCGGCAAGAAATGTACTGTTACTGATTCCAGAGCCTTGTATGAGTTCCAAGAGAGGAGAGGCCGAGTAATTTTCTTCACCTTTTGAACTCTTTTGCACTAATATTATGTTAATAACGTTGTGTTTTGGGTATTTTCTGGTGGATGTAAGTGATGGAATCATGCTCTGTTTTGTGTTATTTTGATATTGTTGTAACTTGGTATTGGAGTTTCTTATGTTCTACCATGAAATTAATGAAGATTTTCGGATGGGGTTTTGTGTTTTTTTTTTGGACAGGAGGGGATCCTTTGTATGTTCTGCTGTGTTGTTGGCTAGCAGCTGTCGGTGTCGGTCTTCTTAAATCCGAGGAGATATTGGAGGGGTGGCGAGGCTTCGGATATAGAATGATATTGAATTTGAAGAGCAGACTTTTATTGCAATGATGAATGAAGCAAGAGAGGTCAGTTCATCTTGTTCCTATTATCTCATGCTTGTTTGTGTTTCCAATTTTATGTTGTTCATTTCAGATTCTTTCGAATGTATGTATGTTCTGTTGCTGATATACTTGTTACAGAAAGGCCCTGGATGCGATTTTCGTCTGTTGCTTTGGGAGATACCCGATCGAAGAGGAAGACGAGCTTGCTTAATATCATGCTAAGAACAGTTTTCCCAACCGTTGAGCAATCCAGGATTCAAAAACTCATCAAGGACAAGGCAATCAAAGTAGCAGAAGGCGGTGATGATGTAGACATTGTTCCGGAACTAAAGCCATTGTCGAAGGAAGCTGTACAAATGCAAATGGAAGACCTTGAATTCCTTAAACAAAACAAAAAGACATGAAACTACTGATCTTAATGGCAAATGGTGCCTGTTAGTTTCTTCGAACAGCACTTGGATGGTTAGAAATTGGTGGTTTTTTTTTTGTACCGTAAAGTATAGAGACATAAAATTATTATCTCGTACAGAGCATTAAAACTCGTTGGACCAGTCCTGGGTAAATAGAGTCCTAAAAAATAGAGAAAATAACCTCAGTGATCAAAAATGACTTATAATATACGATTTTAACCAACTTTTTTTTGATTTGCCAAAATGACCAACTAAATCGCAATGCGATCGATAATTCGCAACGCGATCTCCGGTATCGCAAATCAGTTTCCAGATTCGCAACGCGA